TATTTCATAGTAACACACGTGTGTTATGCCAATGATTTGATCCAAAAATTACCCCTAAGATAGAATGAGATCCAAACAATTACCTCTAAGATAGAATGATGTGATCAAAAAATTACCTCTAAGATAGAATGATGTGATCAAAAAATTACCTCTAAGATAGAATGATGTGATCCAAAAAGTGAAGGATATGACAGTTAAACCGTACAGACTAATGAAAGCAAAGAAGACCAGGGGCTGGCTGTAGGACAGGGCCGAGTAGATGCCCGACAGGAACAATGTCAAGGTCAGCAAGGTGGCCACGAACATCGTGTGCAAGAACGCCGTCATGTACCTGGACAGGTAGTAGACCAACACATTGACACCCAGGCAGTGGAAGTAATCCTGGGAACGGAAGGTTACGTTCAGTTAGGTCAGTTAGGTCAGTTAAGTCAGTTAGGTCAGTTAGGCCAGTTAGGCCAGTTAGGTCAGTTAGGTCAGTTAAATCAGTTAGGTCAGTTAGATCAGTTAGGTCATTCCGTGTTGGACAAATCGCATAGTCCGTCACATGTTTGTTTTGTTTACATATAAAGTCACACCAGAACCGTCGCCTGGGTCCCGAAACCCAGATGCGGGGGGGGGGGGGGAGGGNTGAAAGAGGAACCATTTTTTTTGTGTGTTGTTTCTGCCTTGTCGCAGGTTCCCATTACACCAGACACTCTCAACATTGACTCGCTTTAAGTGCTCTAAGTTGAATTTGAGCGCCGGCCTGTTTTACCCAACACAAACACGCCAGATGGGTATAAACAAACAGGATCCAGGGCCGTGGAGACGTACAATCAAATCAATGTGACGTCTTTATGTAAAGAATGACGTCATTGGCGTTGATTTTTTTTTTGGTTGTTTTTTTTTTGATGATTTTTTTTTCCACTTTACGGCTTTGTGTGTTGGTGGGGGGGGGGGAAATGGGGTGTGATTCTGTTTTTTTTGTTTTTGTTTTATTTTTTAAAATCTGAAAGTGACTTAAAACATCTTATGCATCTACCAACTCTCACTTTGATGTGTGTGTCTCTGTCATCTATGATGTCTGATGTCAAGATCAAATTCCCGGATAAGAAGGACACGATGATGGCCGCCGGCACTGCCACCTTGAGAGGTTTCAGCAAAACATTCCTCCACCTTTGTAAACAATCGATCTCTTGGGTGAACATCTGAAGGTTGCTGGACGTGTTGAGGACGGCGCTCATGGTGTGGTAGAGGAACATGCTGACTCCCTGCCGTGTGTAACCTGGATGGATGGATCAGAGAAGAATGGAAAAGGGGTTTAGAGAAAATATAATGCTAGAATGATGTAAAACACCCATGTGCATGGATATAGAGGAGCGAATTAATTCCAAGGGAAGGTCAGTTTTGGCCAAACGAATACACAGACAGACAGAAAGAGATATGGGAAGATGAAGATAGAGATAGATAGACATAGGCATCAATATGTATTTAGGGACAAATACACCCAGGCACAAGCAGTCAAAGATACTACGTCCATTAATCAGCCGCGCCGGCGGTTATTGGAAATCACCTGAACTGATTTAATCACGCTTAAAGGTGTTATTTGTCAAACGAAATGTGTAGACCAAGACGCAAACCAACTCTTCATAGCTCCAGGAAGGTTTCAACCGGCTTCTCTAATCATAATAATAATAATAATAATAATAATAATAATAAAGTTCATTTAAAAAACACGCTTCATCCCAAAGGCTCGAAGCGCGGTACAAAGTCAACAAAAAACATATCTATAATTTACCACATTTAAAACAAACGCAACACTACAAAAACTAATTACAAGCATACAATCTCAAAGTCTTTCTATTTAGAACGTGCAATCAATGGCTACTCCATCAAAATCACCGTGTTGTCCGACTCACTGTTCAGGACATTCCGCTGACACTCCACAGTAGATCGTGGGAACAGCTCATCCGTCGACCAGTCTTCGGTCGAGAGAAAATCCCTCCGGTGCCGGACGCTGACTTCCTCCAGTGAGGTGAACGTGAGGCTGTAGCTGGTCTTGGGGCTGGTGTTGTTGGTCGGATCCTTGAGGATGACCTCTTTCTTCGAGGTGGTGCTGCCGCTGAATATGACAGCGATGTCGGGGCGGTCGTCGTCCTGCTTTTGGTGAAACTCGAGAAGGAATGCCTCGGAGCGGAAACCTGGGGGAACACTTCCATTCATGAAACTAACCATACATTGTACTGCTGGTATACATATATATATATATATATATATATATATATATATATATATATATATAAATGCTACAAAATGGCATGTGTAGACCGTTGTTCAGAAATAAAAGAAGGAGTAAAAAGTGGCTGTTTGAAAATGAGTGCTCTGACCAGGTTCCGAATACAGATGACCCAGATTTTTTAAATTTTTTGTTAAAAAACTTAATTTCTCACATGACCACTAATTAAGTCACACAGTATAGTTCTTAACTTACCAATAATGGACACCAGTCTTTGAGTCTTGAAGACTTTCCTCAAGTTTAGCCCAACTTGATTCATCAGGGTATCCGTGAAGTGGGACACAGGGGCGTACGCCACGATCAGGTGCTTGCTTCTCCTGGTCTCAATCTCATTCTTATTGATGTCCATGGGTCTGTGGTTGTGGTGGGGGGGGGGGAAGGGAGAGATGGTGTGGGTGGGTGTCAAATGTTATGTTTCACATTTCTTAACTTGCAGTAAGACGAAAAACCCACCGACGCTTTGCTATATGATTAGTTTAAGAATTATCATCGACGTACTAATGCTCTGTGTATATTTCTAATATAAGATGTAGCGTAATTTTTACGAAGAGCCTCGCCCGGAGAACCCAAAGATTTTTAACGGCGTCGACTCCACCGAAAAAGCAAAACAACAACAACAACTACAAATGATCTTACAAAACCAAAACAACTCTGCCGCTGGCAACGCTAGTGCCACACTTCATTGTAACGAAAGAAATGTATGTATCCGGGGCGGACCGTTCCTTACGCCTCTTCCTATCATACGCCAGTGAATGTGAGTAAACTTGTCTTAGTGAGCTCATCTTTGGTTGAACGTATTTAACAAAAGTGTTTTTTTTAAAGCAGTTTTAGTGTAGGGGATCTTGGTTTCCATTTCAACAATTTAACACTTTACCCCGTTATTTTATTTCACTTTGAAATAAGGCTTAATTTTTGAAATATCAAAAAATAGGATCATACATTGAAACAAATAATGAAATAGTAGAACTTAACCGAGGCCAGCTTTTTTTATCATCCGGTCCGGGTATTTTGAGAAAATAACCGGTGGATCCAAGCGGTACCCAAAAATAAGTAAACTCCTCATTTTCTAAAATAAATGCCGGCCTTTAAACAATACTTATACAGACAGTCGTACGCCTTAGCTGTCGGCATTTAAACAATAGACAACAGACAGTCCAACAGATGACAATCCTACAGACAGTCCTACGCCATACCCGTGGCTCTCAATTGATTAAAATAATAGTCGCTTCCGAAAAACATTTAAATCTTCTTACCTGGGTGCAACCGTCACGCAGGACGCTCGTTACTGGAAGCTTTTTTTCCCTTCTTTCTTTCACTATTATTAATATAAAACATGTTGTGTGTGTGTGGTTGGGGGGGGGTGCTATAAGGAAGCAGCCACACCAGCAGAAAAATATTTATAAAGAGATAAAATTTATATTTAATATTTAATAATTTACAAGGTGAGCAACGAATGGAGCTCTTGGCAGGTACGGTTTAACCCGCGACCTACTGTGGAAAAAACACTGACAATAATCGAACCGACGACCCTGCAGACATTCACCTACCCATTTGTGAGGGTTTGTATGGGTTCCAGTGGCCAGTTGATTCGGAGGTAGACGATGGTGAGCGCTGCTGCGACAGGAAGCATCACTTCCATGAACGTCCCAAAAGCGGCTTTCCGCCTCCTTAGCTGGAGATTTTTCCAGAAGATCACGAAGAAGTGTCGCACAAACGTCATCGATTTTTGGCCAACTTTAGACGCCTTTGGTAAAATGTGAATTAAAACTAAAAAATTAGAGAATGCAACTGAAACAAGTAAAAACCATATTTTACATATCTAAAAAAAATAAATTACTACAAAATTTAGCATAATAACACTACTGTCATTACTTTTACTTTACAAGAATTTAGACTACAATAAATATTTTACTAATTTGGATATTTTAGACGAGTTAACGTTATGATTTGAATAAAGCCAATTAATAAAGATAAATTGGTCGTCACCAATGTGAGTCTATAAAGGGCATCCACATCAAGCTGGGTTGCGAACACATTACCATTCTTAGCTTATCTTAAAATACTCTACATCTATGGAGTATGCCATATGGGGAAAAGTATTGATACAAAGAAGCTCTTGATCACGTATTACTTCCCATTTCATTTTGAACAGAGGAAATCCCACAGAAAGTTAATGCACCACTTAGCACCGAGTTATTATCTTTTGCGCACCGAGCGTACACACAAGGCTTCCAAACAATTCTATTTTGCTCCCTGAGAAAAAAAAATATGTGTGATAATATTTACAAATTATTTGATATGATAAACATTTAATATTTATCTGTTTAAAAAGCACACACATAAATATATATATAATGCATCCAATAATTGCAGACTATTCTGGTGATTTTGTTTTAATCGCATAATTTGCGTGAGTTATTATTTTTCAAAGAATGCCCCACGAAATACTAAAAAAGTATAATCTTACTTTTCAAGGCTCAATCCATAATTAAAGTCCCTAGTCCATACTATACATATGGGGCCAAAGATTCAAGACTAACAAACGTCAGTACAATCAGCCTGTTTGTTTCAAGAAAACATCCCCCCCCCCCCCCACGCGACACCCCCAGGATAAACGCTTGTCATAGATGGTCACGATCTTAACATCACAAGGGTCAGTAGTCTTAGTAGAATTTTTACATTTCTGATAGACGCTCGGTTAGTCAAACAACAACGGAAGTCTTAGATGGGCGTGGCGGACAAAATCGAAAAGAATGAAACAAAGAGAGGAAGTTGCTTCAACTCAAAAAATAATGAAGACGAGGAACGTAAAAGGTTGTCCGTATTTTGTTACTGTTATTTGTTACCATATTTTGTCCCTATATCTTGTTACTGTAGTTTGTTATTGTATTTTGTTACTATATTTTGTTATTGTATTTTGTTACTATATTCTAAACTATATTTTGCTGCTCTATTTTGTTACTCTAGTTTGTTGCTCTATTTTGTTCTTGTATTTTTTGTAACTGTATTTGTTACATTATTTAATCAGTGATTCTTTTTATACATTAACGGTAATATTGTTTTTAAATGTTTTTACATATTTTTTCGCAATCCCCTGCTGCTGTGATGTAGTCTACCTTCTTGTTTTCAGGGTAATAAAGGGAAATAAGGGGAGAGACTGTTTTGTTACGTTCCTTTTTTCAGGTTTAGCCCTACTTTGTTTTACTCACTCCTTGTTGCCAGCTTGCCCATATTCCTCGATGTAGAGTTTGTAATGTTGCGTTTTGTATTTTATTTGTGGGAAACATATCAATTGTCCTATAGGGTTGACTCTGTACCGCACTTCGAACATTGATTAGGGATGAAGCGTGTTATTGAAATGAACTTTATTATTATTATTATAATTATTATTATTATTATTATGGCTTTTCAAAACCTGTTCCCCTCTGTCGTCTAGTTCAAGATAGTTGCCATATCAGCATACAAGGGTCATGTCCATCAACAGATGTACGTCAAACAGTTGTCATGTGACCCTTTAATTATGTCACACGGTTGTCAATTCACACATTCAATGTCATGTCACTCAATTGTCGTTTTAACCAAACGCTCCCCTTTACCTACACTTGTGATCCTTTTTATTTCCTATACATAAATTGAACTAAGGATAAATACAAAATGGCGTGGAGACTTTTGTAGGGGAGGGAAGAAAAAAAAAAGGGGGAGGGGGGGATACGCATAATTGTGTGCTCATTTCCTACGATATTTTCCTACACAAAGGTCTGTAACAGGACACCTTTGTTTTCACTGAAAGGGTTCCAGTTCATTTACTTGATGGTTGATCTGTGTCTAAATGTGTCCGACAGAGTGTCGTCTCTGACATGGGTCAAAGTGAAACAGTTCATCGGCACGCCAAGGAGAAGTGACTTTGCGCTCGACAAAGAAGAGTTGCCGGCGATAAAGAGAAAAGGTCAGACGTCTACAGCGATGTCAACATCTTAAGTATTTCAGTTGCCGTGTTGCATGAGAAGCAGTGGCGTGGCTATGGTTAGTGCCGTACGGGGTGGGTTAAACATTCCCCCCCTCCACGAAAAAAAACCCTCTGCATTTGACGGAAAATGCCGCCACTCCATATATATAGAAAAAAAAGTGGTCCACTCTCCCCACTCACACCTCCTTCCTACGCCACTTGGAAGAAGTATGACAGATGACTTGTTACGGTAGTCTTGTTATCGTTGTCTTGTTACAGCAGTCTTGTTACGGTAGAAGTGTTATTATTTCAGTTGTGGCCCTCTCATTATAAGATAGACATCATGCTTCAAAGTGTTTTCTCTGTTCACAGAAATACTTTTAGAATCACTTTGCTGGACGACAGACCATTACATGAAGTAAGTTTTGATGCTCAAGAGTAAAGCCAAAATCAGATCGATTCATGGCTCTTTAAAAATCAATTAGCTTGAAAATACGTAAACGCTAAGTTATGAATAGCTCTCAAGTATACGTATGAATAGCTCTCAAGTATACGTATGAATAGCTCTCAAGTATACGTATGAATAGCTCTCAAGTATACGTATGAATAGCTCTCAAGTATACGTATGAATAGCTCTCAAGTATACGTATGAATAGCTCTCAAGTATACGTATGAATAGCTCTCAAGTATACGTATGAATAGCTCTCAAGTATACGTATGAATAGCTCTCAAGTATACGTATGAATAGCTCTCAAGAATACGTATGAATAGCTCTCAAGTATACGTATGAATAGCTCTCAAGTATACGTATAGGAGAAAACGTTTCGCCTAAACCCGTGTTTTCCACACGTTTAACTATGGCGACCCGGTGGACAAGGTTTCGAAATTGCACCAGTCCCTACACCAGATTCATCATTTTTTTTTTATGAACCATAAATATGCATGATGTGCGGACCGGCAATGTAAGGCTCGCGGGCCGGTGCCAGTCCGGGGACACCACTTTGGGAAAAACTGGTCTAGACGTCCAGGCTTGCTCTGCCTTCATTTTCTTTGAATTCCCATTTTGTAGTACAAAAAAAAATCAGAGGCGCCTCTTTGGTTCCTCCTTTAATTTCATTCAGTTGTCGTGTGCTGACTCCATCCACAAGGGGATGCTTCTATTTCATTAGATCGGTTTCAACCGTTCTGTTTTACGTACCGTTATACGGCTTTTTTTAACATCTAACATGCTTTAAGCTCTGGCTCGTTTCTTTTTAAACAATACGTGACAAGAACTGACAACCAGTACACAAAGAAACATAATACCGAAGCTAGTGATGTTAGCACTATTCAATTTAATTATACTATTACATTTATACAAAGAGTAAAAAAAAAAAAAATCAAGTAGACAGAAATATATAACCTATATTAACTTTCACCAGATCGAGTGAAAAAATACAATCCACGAACGATACAAATATTAATTGACATAAACGTAAAGAGAACAATCTTTAAGTAGATTTGACCTCGTAAATGTCTTGGGAAAGCTAGCGAAAAACCAGCTCTGGCTGGGGAAACTCCCGCTTTATTTATAAGGTGAACGCTGGGACCCTCCAGAAAAGAAATTCTAGCAATTGCAACACCTGATAGTATTCTTTTGAACAAATGAGAACGTATTCGAATGTACAATGTAAACAGCCTTTTTCCCAACTAGGAACCAGGGAGGGTGGATGAAAAGGATTGGTGCTACACATTTAATCGGTGACGTCAATATCTAAACCAAAAAAAAAAAAAAAAAAAAAAAAAAAAAAAAAAAAATGAAAGGGGGGACGGGAGGTTGAATGCCACAGCTTGCGGTGAATAAAAACTAGGTCAACACACAGGTTATAATATTAAGCTCTTTTACACGGACTGCCCATCTAAGTGGTGTCGTGAGAAATCAGCTTGGCAGCATTCTACAACCATGAATTTTTTTCAACGACGTGTGTGTATGGTTTCTACAATGTTTGTCACAACGACTAGGATCTTTGTCCGTTTTGTAGGCATTTGTTTAGGAAAACCTAAACATTCCGCAGCAATTTGATCCATAGAGGTGAACATCCCGGGACTCTCACCCCGGGACTCTCCAGTAGCACCCATAGTAACTTATCTTTATCAATGCATCACTGCGATTTCTTTTTTTCCCCACCCTTTTTTGTTGTTGTTGATGAACCATGACAAGACTTTGGCGATGCATTGTTGCACACTCTCAGTGATAATATACAAAAAACTAATATACCGTTTCACCACCACCGTAGTTGGGCAAACATAAGCTTCTACGGTGGTGACCCTATCTCATTAACGATAAAAGAGCACAACTAGTTTTACCAATGAACTGACACTTTGTTATATAAAGCCTGTTGCCAGTAAACATTATACACAACACGTATTTAAAAAAAAAAGTTTCTGCCAATAAATCTTTAAGGTTAAGTCTTGAAAGTAAATGAAAATAGAATCGATTTAAATATGCGAATGATTATTTTCATGACGTTTCTGCCAGGATTTTTGATGTGGCTTTGGGGTCTGTGATGGTTGGGGAACAAGTAGCCAGGTAAACGTTTATCATCAGAAAAAATATTTCTGTATTTTATATTAATTCGTAATATTTTCAGAAAGAAAATGAGAAAATGAATTATGATGCCACAAATGTGTATTGTATTTCTTATGTGACATCAAAATTAAATTTAAAAAACAAAGAGGTGATACTTCGTACATCCACACGTATTCATTTCTTCTTTATATTAATTTGATCCCAGGACTTTAGCTGTTAAACGAAACCAGATTGTTTATTGTAAGCATTGCGTATGCCATAATGAGTGCTTCATCATCAGTGTTATAGACACCCTCCACGAAGACTACCCACTAAACGCTCTAGTGTATGCCATAATGAGTGCTTCATCCTCAGTGTTATAGACACCCTCCACGAAGACTACCCACTAAATGCTCTGGTTGCGTGCTCGTGCGGATGGAGGACGCACGCAATAGTCAACCCGGAAGAAGAACCTGTTAGACGTCTCATTGACATAGGTAACCTGCCGGCGTCATTGTATCTAGGGACTCTCGGATTGCCAGGGTGAGACATTAGAATCGATGCTTTTCTTTCTGAAGATTTAGGCAAAATCTGTTTTTTTATTTTTTTAATAACTATAATTATAACTATATATATATATATATATATATATATATATATATATATATATATATATATANTAATCAAAACATACATGTGGCATTAAGATTCTTAGTTGTTCCAAATATATTTATATTTTATTCCATACACTTTTTTTCTTTATATTTATATATATATATATATATATATATATATATATATATATATATATAATATATATATCTATACATATACATGGAAATCATTGAATATCACACAATTAACGCATTCAATAAAAAGAGGCACCCTTTTTTATTGGTGACCAATTAGGGATGTCTAAAGTGAGCCGCTAGTAAGTAAAGCACATCTGGAACTAGGAAATAATAGGAATGATGTTTTATGCCATCTTAGCCACCCTCAATATGGAACCCCCCGAAAAATTTTTTTTTTAAATGAACAGCTTTGGTCGTCCTGGTCAGACTGGCACTCAAGAGTAAAGGGCGGTGAAAGTACTTTGCTAATTGCATTTCAGGGATGGAAAGGGCCTCCCCCCCCCCTCCCCTGGACACCAGCCACCAGCGCAGAGGATTCTTGAGGACCTGCTGTATCCTGTTTTAACTCCGCTCCTTACCCACGCCCTTAACATAACCAACCGCCATAACTTAGCGTATAAGTAGTAACTGTGACGTCATTCGTTCTGCCGCCAGCATGTGTGCCTACTTTGGCCTCTTGGAACTGTGCCGTCTGAAAGGCGGAGAGACGGTCGTCATCAACGCTGCCGCTGGCTCTGTTGGCAACGTCGTGGGACAGATTGCCAAAATTAAGGTTTGTGAACATTGAAGTGCTTTCAATAGAAGAAAATCATGAAAGGTCAATGAAGACTGCAGAAAATCATGAAAGGTCAATGAAGACTGCAGAAAATCATGAAAAGTCAATGAAGACTGCAGAAAATCATGAAAGGTCAATGAAGACTGCAGAAAATCATGAAAGGTCAATGAAGACTGCAGAAAATCATGAAAGGTCAATAAAGACTGCGTTCTCCCCTACAACTCCAAAAAAAAATGTATTTTTTCCCCCATGACCCCAAACTTTTAGCACAAATATTTATTGCTTTTATTGCTCTAAAAAATATCTTAAAAACTTCCATCACTCAAGTTGCTAATTTTTGTCCTAGTTCAAATAGTTACAACGTCATCGTTTCGAAGTATCGATATTTATTTCAAATGGCTCAATACATTTCTCATTGATCGTTCAATTTTCAAAGTGTTTCAAAAATTAATTATAATGATATTTTAACAGCATCACCAAAAATAAGGCATTATTTCATTATTTTAAAGTGTTATAGACAAAAAATTATAAATGTTAACAGCACTTCGTATGATAAGGCGTTATAGCACGGTGATTTTAAAGTGTTAAAAATATAGTGTTAACAACATTGCCAATCATAGGGAATTATAACGTAGCGATTTTAAAGTGTTAAAAATATAGTGTTAACAACATTGCCAATCATAGTGCATTATAACGTAGCGATTTTAAAGTATTAATAATATAGTGTCAACAACATTGCCAATGATAAGGAATGATAAAATAGCAATTTTATAGCGTTAAAAATATAGTAACACAACAACATATCCAAAAATAAAGCATTATAACATAACGATTGAGTAATCTCTTATAAATGTATACCGATTGATTTTGTAACTAGGGCTTTACAATGTTCAGTTTTGTGTGTGCTTTCAACGCTTTGAAAGTTCCAGTTAGATTACAGGGTGGTGGGCTGGATCACTGGTGTTGTTTTTCCCCCCTCAGGGTGGTAAAGTGATAGCATTCGCCGGGTCCAAAGAGCGGTGTGAGTGGGTGCGAGAGCTCGGCTTTGATTACGTCTTCAACTACAACAGCATAGAGATATCAGCGGCTCTCAAGCGAGTGGCGCCCCTCGGTGTTGACTGTTATTTTGACTGTGTGAGTAAGCCATGAGATTTTTAATTAATTGTTTTCAATCAAACAATGTAAAACTTAAATGGGGAGGGGGCAAATCAATAAGCCTCACTGTCCAATTATTATGCAAATTCTTGACCAAGTCCAAACGAGGACGCGTGGTCAAACATGATTGGGCTGACACATGTTTTGTGTTTGTTGACCTCTGGAGCTATCAAAGCCCCATCTTTTCTAAAAATGTTTTAAAATAGTAAAGTGATTAATTGTGTAGCGATTTCAGTAAACATTTTCTAAGTTTTTTTTAGTTTCATTTTTTAATTATGATAATAATCAGCGCATTCTGTTAGGTTTCTGTAACCATAAAAGAAATTGCACTCTAGTTTTTCCATATTCAACATGTACAACAAGGGTGTATTAATATTGAGTTTATTTATTAGCACTACAAGAATTAATTTTTTTTAAAGAAGGAAAACATTTTGAACTGTATGATTTAATTTGAGTGGACAATTCTTCTAATTATTTGATCATTGCTTCACTGCCACCGATTCTTTCGGTCCTTCATTTCGGGTTTTCTGTTTCTTATTATAGCTCCAACGAAACGATCTTTTCTGTTCATTTAATTGCTACAAAAAAAAATACATTCATCAAACAGCCGCGTACATACAGACACTGCTAATAAAGTGTGAGAGACTGAAAGCAGAATTAGGTAGAAGGAAATATGTGAAACAAAGTATGGACTATGGAATGTCTTAGAGTAGTTTTCAGATAAGAGACGTTTTCTTTGCACTTGCCGCTATTTTATCTTAGTCACTTTTTTTTTTACCCGCTATCATATGGCTTATCTGGGCGAGATGAATCGGAGTCTTTTTGAACATCTTCGAAATATTGCTCAAGATAAACGATGACCTATCTCAAAACACTTCATTTAGAAGCGACCACTAGGGCACCGGCGATTATACTATTACCGCTATTTTTCCTGTACCAACACGCCCGCCAGGGGGAACTGAGAGAACAAACTCGTACACACTTATGGGAGCTTGACACCACATGACCACATGGCAAGACTGTCATGTACTTCTTCGCTTGTTATATCGTTTCCAACTAATGGTCTACCTAAATTCCTCTGGCTGTTCTATCGGGTACAATATGTCATCTATGTTGTATTTTTTACCATTATGTTAGTCTCTGCGTTTGTTCTCTGAAAAAATCTTCTTGCCGGAATGATCGTTGTTTTATTGCTTCCCCTTTTCATGCCTTACCGTACCTTGCCTCACATATTTCATTACACACAGAGAAACAGACAAACAGGCAAACAACACTAACTCAAAGATACGAGGCCGTTATATCTCCAACTGTGACAAAAATGACAAGATGTCTATGAAGTAATGCCAAGTATCTCATGACACCATGCCAAGTATCACATGTCCCAATACCAAGTATCCCATGTTATTTACTCCAATCCATCAGGTGGGAGCCAAGTTTACAGAAGCCGTGTTGGACAGCATGAAGGCGCAGGGCTCAATCTGTGTGTGTGGGTACGTCCATTCGTACGCCCTTCAAACCTCACAAGGTTACGTATCTCTCAGTACGCTTTATGTCTTTTCCTTCTAAACAGGTGTAACCCTCAAAGAATTTGATCACACCCTCATGTAAATATAACATGAAGTCGTTGCCCCTAACATTTTATGACATAATTTTGATTTTTAAAAAAAGCTCCTCATGTCACTAATGTGGGGGGCGGGAGGACATGGGGTGGGACTGCAGCTGTGAACCATTGAATCGAGTCTCATTTCCACATATTGCTTTAACATACAAATACCGTATATAAGCTCAACTATAGATACGATTTCAAACTTTCGAAAGAAAAAACCAACCTAGACCAGTAATGGTCACTTACATTAAATTAGCTTTATGTCTTTAGCTTAGAATCTTAAAAATCTGTGGCCCCGGGGTTCGTGGGGGCGGGGGGGGGGTGAGTGGATTTTAAAGAATCGTCCAAACTGAAGTTTTAAATTTTTTATTACAAGTCAATGGTAAACCCTGGCAATGAAAACTTTCGAAAGAAAAAACCAACCTAGACCAGTAATGGTCACTTACATTAAATTAGCTTTATGTCTTTAGCTTAGAATCTTAAAAATCTGTGGCCCCGGGGTTCGTGGGGGCGGGGGGGGGGGTGAGTGGATTTTAAAGAATCGTACAAACTGAAGTTTTAAATTTTTTATTACAAGTCAATGGTAAACCCTGGCAATGCCGTTCACTGACACCAAGTAAGATGTTTTGAAATGTACCTCCAATAGCTCAAACGCAAGGTCCGTACCGTCTATTTTCAACCAAAGATGGTCACGTGATCAGCTCATCTGTTCATGACTTCGCTCAGAAATTCCCGGAGGCTGAATCTAAAATCCTTGAATGGATTCACCTAGTGAGTCTTGGTTGATTAAATTTCTTTTTTTCCATTTGTGAATTCTGTTGGGTAAGAAATAGGCCGCCAGCAGGGTTATGACGTCCCACCTCATTTCCTCTATATTTTATTTCTTTTTTAACCCGTCTCTTGAAGAGCTCGTGAAGTAAGTTCTTGTTTTGTCCATCACGTTTTGGAGCAACAACTTCTGGTTATTCAAAGACCATTATTCTGTCTGCAACTAACGCTAAGGATAGAGACAAGCTTTCCAGTCTTAATTTGCATCGCCATAAAAATGTTAACACATTTTTTCTCTACGGGAAGAATTTGTGTTTTGTTTTTTAGTTTGTAGAGACTTGTGTGTTTTGGTGAGGTCTCATACATTCAAACTATGAAAAGAGATGCAATTCGTGACGGGTGAAAACTCTAGTATATTATTTTCATCGTTGAAATCTTAAGTTATTTATGGATTACTTTTTAATTTATCAAACCTGACCAGCTTAGTCTTCAGTATCATTTTGACATCTCTTTATGACCACAGTGAATGAAACTGGTATCATTGTATGTAATGTTCTATGGATGAAAATTAAAAAAAAACAAACAACATAACTTGACCTATTATTGTGTGTGTTTGTTTCAGGGAAAACTCAAATATCGCGAGATTTTGTTTAATGGCTTTGAGAGGTTGCCGGACGCGCTGACCGCTCTCTACGACGGGAGGAACGTTGGGAAAATCATTGTCAAATCAGCATTTGCCGCCAACTTGCAAACAATGGTCGTCAATGTTTAATTCTTTTTTTAAAAAAATATTTTTTTTTAAACTTCTGGCACTGAACTGAAAAAACAAAAAATATTTTGAGTCGGTAAATTCTTGTTTTCTACATCAGCAAAATCAAGATGCCCACAAAAAGGCAAATGGTTTGTCTCTGATGTAACGGTATTTTCATCTAAAAGTGATAGTTGCTTAGACTTAGATATTGTGGTTAAAAAGATTGTGTTTTTTTATATTGTGCTAAAAGATATTGCTCTCTCTTTGTGATTCGACTGAAGCGTCAAACATCGAAACAAATCATCGTAAAAAAAAAAAAAAAAAAAAAAATATTCTTGTTGTTGAAATTCATCAAGTTAACTTTTGTGTATATTTCCTTCATTCACCATTACATTTGCCTCGAAAGATTGCCGCAAATATCTGGTTGTGTTCACATTTTGGTAAGACTTTGATTCCGGGATGCGAATCAATCTCTTGGCAGCGCTTGCTTCAATAGGAGTGACATGGGAGGGAGGGGGATGGCAGGGGGGAAGAGTGGAGGGAGAGGCCGTCATTGCAAGGAATCATGTTTACCATCTCTCATCCTGTGCTGAATCAGCATTCTAGATATCTGTTTTAATGCGGTTAAATGTTTAGTGTTTAAAGTTTAGTGTTTTATTATAAACAACATTTAAATTGTTTGCGTGTAATAGTGTAATGGTCATTTAGTGAATTTTAAAACGGGTTTTTAAAAAAAAAACAATAATTGAGTAATTTGTGTGTTGAGGGGGGAGCGGAATGTCACAAATCAAATCAATAATGTTATATGAGTCACATTAGTGGTAGGACATAAAAGTTAACTATTATTAAGTGAACTGGGAAAATGTCAGAGCAAAGATAAGGTGTATTGATTTAATAGTGTACAGCTTTTATACACACACATGCACGCACGCACCCACACACCGACACACACGCACACATACACAAAATACAAGAGAAAAACCACAACGGTTGAAATAGGACGAGACATTTTCATAGAGCAAGCTGTTTCTTATAGCAGTGAGATAGTTAAGAGAATTCGCACAGTGAGGAAAATCAAAATAATTTAATCTTAAACACTAGAATCTGTATAGAAACTGTAATCCCTTGTAAATACTAGAATCTGTACAGAAACTGTAATCCCTTGTAAATGCTAGAATCTGTATAGAAACTGTAATCCCTTGTAAATGCTAAAATCTGTATAGAAACTCTAATCCCTTGTAAATGCTAGAATCTGTATAAAGCTGTAATCCCTTATAAATGCTAGAATCTGTATAGAGGCTATAATCCATAAGTTAACACTAGAGTCTGTATAGCGGCTGTAATCTTTACGTAAACACAAGAACCTGTATAGAGACTACAATACATAAATAAACACTAGAATTTGTTTTAATACTGTAATCTATATGCAAACACTAGAAACTGTATAGAGACTATGAACCATAAGTAATCACTAGAACCTGTATAGAGACTATAATCTATAAGGCTTTGAAATGATGTAGACTAAAGTAAAGCTTTGCCAACTGGCGGGCTGACACGTGCCAACAAACATCACCACTGAAACCCAGGGGACAAAGTAGGAACATTTCTACGCACCTCGCACCTTCAGGTGTTCCCGTGATCCATTACAACTGAAATCATCTTTAGCCGACCCGCAGTGACGTGAGTAAAGAAGTGAAGGTCATCTCGGACATCTCCTTCGATAGAAAGTTATAGAATAATGTGTTTTTTGTTTGTTTGTTGTTTTTTGTTGTTTTTTTGAGGGGGAAGGGGGTTCTGTGTAGCGGTGGGGGTCTTTTTAGTATAAAAAAAAAGTGTGGGGTGGGAGATGTAAAGTAAACAACAGAAGTCTTCAACTTTTCGTAGACCAGTTATCGTCAAAGGCTTTTTAGTGAATGTAGTCGTTTTTTGGTAACAGCAGGAACAGCATGGCATAACATGTATAAGTTCTCAGTGGCAATAAATAAGAGAAAGAGACATTTTTTAAAAATATTTTTATTTGAACATAAACTCCAAATACAGCAACTTTGTGAATGTGTGAGTAAAACTGAAAGTAGGCTTAATTGAAAAGATCTTTATTTTAAAGGAACACATATATGCATTGTAATGGCCTGTTCATGGCGTAATTTGCGAGGCCCACCTTCCCCTTCAGAATGTCAAATGCCTACGGTCCTCAACAGTGCTAAATCCGTGACTGTCAAACAACTCTGAGACCAATAAGTGGTAACGAGTTGTCCCTGGACTAGGGTGACCAAACGTCCCGTAAAAACAATCCCGTTTTTTTTAACGATCGTACCCGGTGTCCATCGGGACGCCGAAATGTCCCGTTTTTTTTAACGATCGTACCCGGTGTCCATCGGGACGCCGAAATGTCCCGTTTTTTTTAACGATCGTACCCGGTGTCCATCGGGACGCCGAAATGTCCCGTTCTTAAAACGAAACAAATGTTCATTCCACTAAAACTTACTCATTTATAATGTAACGTCAAGTAACATTTTGGCTAGCTGTGTAGCCAGTGCCAGTGGTAATGTGGGCTCGCGTGGTAGCTGCACTGTCCCCCCTCCACCTTTCTGCCGACGCTGCAAAAATATTGGTTTCGTGTATAATATGCATCAGAGTTAAAATTAGATTAAAAAATTGAAGGTAAATTTAAAAAGATTTCAAAGTCTCAAAATAGTTCAAATGAGCATATTTAAGAAACAAAAAACAAAGCAGTTTCCTGCGGAGGCCCCAGGACTCTTCTATAACTGGAGGCAGAGGCGTAGCGAGAGTGTCTGGCGCCCGAGGACATCTGCCCCCCTTCACTACGCCTCTGTTTGGAGGGTATCCCCCCCCCCCCAAACCCTGGTTTGGATGTGTCCCTTTTTTCCAGTTCATGATTTGGTCACCCTACCCTAGACGTATACTGACCTACTTGATAAAGATTACGTTTTACCAATATAGGTAGCACATAGCGATACAACCTTTTTACAAATACAGGTTGTGTAGCACAAAGAGATATAACCTTTTAACCAATACAGGTAGCACATAGAGCTATAACCATATTAACAAATACAGGTAGCACGTAGAGATATAACCGTTTTACCAAAATAGGCAGCACATAGAGATGTAACCTTTTTAACCAGTACAGGTAGCACATAGAGATATATAACATTTAACCAAATACAGGTTGCACATAGAGGTATAACCTTTTTACCAATACAGGTATCACATGGAGATACACTGATAAGACGTATATTTAAGGGCTAAGCCGGGCACTAAGTTCTTAATATTTACCCAACCGGCACATACCCAGACGCGGCATATAACAGAGCCGAATCAACGTGTCAATTTTAGTCTTCTTACAGACACCCCTTTTTGTACACAATGTGTTGTACACGTGAACTGAATTAGATAAATAACACAAGAAAACTGACGAGCGAATTGCGAGCAAACAAATGGGAACTAAATGAAACCACACAGCTCTGAACGTAATGCTGTACTCTTCGGAATGGTGGGAAATTATTTAACGTGTCATTATGCATAACCTTTGGTTATGGCCATGCCCCTTTCCGTTAATTACTATTTCCTTTCTCGTGCTAACTTGTTGATGTTATATATATACTGGGTAGCCAAAGTTTGAGTGTGTGTATTTGTATGTGTGAGTGTGCGCTTGTGTAGATCATTTTCTCAAGTTCTGCCTTGGATTTCAATCATATTAAAGTAATTAAGCTCGCGTCTTAATAAGAGAAGCAGTTGGCTTAACTGAAGGGTGGCTAGCGAGGGTGGTATCGCAGCGAGGATGACATCAATAATAAATTAAAATAATATGCGTACTTTGGTTTAAGTTGAAAAAAAAATGGAAACTGCTACCAACAATGGCAGTGACCAGCGATACTAACGCATATAGCGAAGCTCTGCTCCATGTTTGATTTTTGTTATGGTTATGTGTTAGGGCAGCGGTTCTCAACCTATGGGTCGCGACCCCTTTTGGGGTCGCTTTGAAAAATCGCTTTGTTCGATATATATTGATGGTCCATATCATTCAGGTTAATCTTGTTACAGGCTCACAGAATTCGATTATAACTATCGTATTGCTTTGAAAATTTGCCGCTCCTGATCATAGGCAAAATCTTATTTTCTTATTCACATTTATCGTAATTTTTATTTATTTATATTTTGCACAAGTTGAAAGGCTTTAATACCTCTGTATTAAACTAACTTTACATCGATATGAAGGTCTTAAAATTGAATATAGTTCATGCTAAATAATAAACACGTGCAATCTATTTTCAAATTATCTTTCATCACAACAGCATAACTGTTTAAGTAGAGGTAAGTGTTAATTCTAAATTGTATGTTATAGCATCATGCTTTGAAAAATGCGTTTTAGCATACATTTTAATGTAGTAGATTCCATACATGTATATTGAGTTAGATAAAATGAAAACTTTAAAAAATAACAAACAAAAAAACTATATTTTAAAACAAAAAATTAGGAATTTACCGGTTGCATATAAATAGTGGACATTTCATAAATTATTATTAAATCGAGTAGTTTCTAATTTTGTAACACAGTTTCGGGAACAGCAGAGTAGAATGATGTATTAAAAAAAAAAACCATCACTTAGCCTTTATGCATTAAATCCCCAACGACTTTCTGTTTGATATGAGAATAATAAACAATCCCCCCCCCACCTTTTTGAACTAATTTTTAAAAAAAATTCATTTTTAGATGATAATCCAGGAGAAAGAATATCTATATTTAAACAGCGTATTTTTTTTTTTTAACTCTAGTATTTCGATTATCTTGTGAATGCTATTTTTGGTAGAAGTCAAAAATAAATTCTATGGAATTGGTAAAAAAAAATTGTTTTAAAGTATAATATCGAAGAGGCAAATTGTAAGTGATCTGAAGCAAGTTATTGTAAGTTTGAAAATCTAAATTAACATTTCCATCAACTGAATATTGAGATCTTAAACTTTATTTGTATACAATTTCTTTCATTAAAAAGTCACACATTAATAAATAGATGATGTCTTTTGTAAACAACTCATGTCTTCTTAACAACTATGTCGGTTACATACGAGTTA